AATTACTAATGTTTATAATGTAATGTTTAAATTCATAACTAATTTGTAATTATGTAATCATTTAACTATGTAAGCTATATAAAGTAATGATCATAATATATAATGTAATATAATATTTAATATTTAATTGAGTAATTATTTAACTAATGTAATGGTTAATAATGTTTATAATAATGAAATGTTTATAAGGTAATGTTATGATTATAAATTCTTTAATTTAATTAAGTATTATCTAATGTTTATGTAGTAAATTAGTAATTATTAATATTTATAATATAATGACAAATCAATTAAGTAATTATTTAATTATATAATGTATATTAATTATATAATCATACTATAATGTAATGTTATAGTGAATTAACTATTAAGTAATAATACTATAAATTTTTAATGTAAATTTAATTATTAAATTTTTAATCATTTAATTAATTTGTACTAATGTTTTATAATAAAATGTTATAATTGATTAAGTAATTATACTATAAACTATACGTAATGCTATAATTATAATTTTCTTATTATAAGTCAATTAATTAACTATTTAATTATGTTTAACTTATAAGTCAATTAATTAAGTAGAATCAATTAATGTAATGCTATAATTAATTATACTATAATCAATTAAGTATGTTATAAAATTATAATTAATTAAGTAATCATTTAATTATAATGTATGTTATAATTGATTAAGTATGATATTTAACTAGTAATTAAATTTATTAATGTTATCAATTTATCATATATAATTAATTAATTACTAATTTATTATAGATATACTTAGACTTGATAATTGACGTAAATAACTAAATATATTATTACTCAATCAAATATACTATTTTATTCAAAAATAATTCTTTTAATAACATTAAAAATGTAAAACACTTTTAATTGGATCATAATTCCAATTATTCACTTAATTGATCAAAACTTTAATATTAATGTATTATAATATATTAAAGCTTTTAATATGGTGTAATTTATATGTAATAAGTATAATTGTATTCGTATATTTATTTAATTAGGTTATTCTAAAAATTTAACATTTTCTATTTTAAATTTTTTTATATGTAAAATAATAGAAACTCCCCCATTATTTACATTTCACAAATATTTCATTATAGTCCAGATTCCAAAATAGGTTCTAAACAGGTTCTAAAAACAGGTTCTAAAACAGGTTCTAAATAGGTTCCAAAACAGGTTCCAAATAGGTTCCAAAGCAGGTTCCAAACAGGTTCCAAAACAGGTTCCAAACCGGGTACCCCATACAGGTTCCAAACAGGGTACCCTTTTTACAGGTTCCGGTTTCGGTTTCGGTTCCTCCACATGCAAGAACCGGAACCGAAACCGCACAGTAGCGGTTCTAAAAAATTAGAACCGAAACCTACCCGCACAGTGCAGGTTCTGGGTAGGTTCCGGTTCTGGTTCCGGTTCTTACCCTCGGTTCTGGTTCTACCTGCTACCCGTGCTCACCCCAACTTTTAACAACCATTTTAAGACTTTGAAATAAGATTTCATCAAACATATTTTCACAATTCTAACGTCAATATATTAATACTTAATTAAAGAATAAAAAAAAAAAATTATTGAAATTTGATAAAAGTAGATATTATGCATGATAACAAGTTTTATTTAATAAATGATATTTTTTGAGATTTGATGCTAAAAGTAAAGTCTAGTAGTGGTATAAATTTGGTACTACAATTAATGATTTAACTTTAAATAGCTGAGATTACTTACATTTAATATATGCTAATTAGAATATGCATATTGAATTTCATTTTAGCCATTTCAAGTACATTTATTCAAATTTTATCATATGATTATGTATCTTGAAAGGACCAAATTAAGCTTTTTAAAGGACAAATATCAATTCATAGCCAACTAATTATTAATTAAGCATGTAATTTAAAGTTAAGAGAATGAAACGTCATTCTTAATTACTTATTAATCACATATGCTTCGATTAAACTAGTTTAACAACAAATAGGTGTCTTGAGAATTTCAAGATTACCAAACTTAACCTAAAATTAGGTGCAATTAATCATATAATTTAGATGTTAAGTTGAACATGAACAATAATACTCTTCTTAATTAGACAAGTGAAGGAAAAAAAGACATCAAATCCTCTTAGGTATGGACATAAATTCTGTATTAATCAAATCTATCACTACAATAGTCATTATATTTATGAGGTATGGCCAATAAAGAAAAAAGAAATTAAACTTTGAAATTTAGAAAAAAGTTTGAGTTGGTGAATGAAGTATATTTATGAATACTTTTGTCATTTACTAGATGGGTTGAATTAATTATATGAATCTTAATTTCTTGACAATAGAAATTCTTAGTTATATAAGTAAATGTAAAGTTGATTTTTTCATGTAGAAAATGAGGGTTTATAAAAATAACAAACATCTCTCTAAGGTTTTGGATAAAATATAAATTCTTTTGCCATTAAGTTTTAGGTGTTAAAAAAGTAAACGGTAGAAGAACAACAATGTAAATTCTAAATGGCTTACTAACAGCAGGGACATTTTTGCTATTTAAAAAACCTTAAAGAGATTTTTTTATTATGTCATATTTCAGGGATTTATGTTTTTAACTCACTTGAATTAAACATAAAAAGAGGTTTGCTTGTATTAAAGTTTAAAGTTGAATTTTAAAAAAGGCTTTTACTCTTTTGTTCCTAAATTTGGGCATGGCATGTCACATGTGCTTATTAATTACCACAACTATGTGTTAAAAAAATTATACCAAAAAGGGTAAATCATTTTTGCCAATTATTCATGGGAAAGAGTACCTCTTTGTTTCATATTTATTTATTTATCCTCAAAGCTTTTCGTGTTGCTTTAATGTGAATCTCTAAGTCAAATCCATGTTGTTGCATTTCTTTTTAAATTAATAATTAAGCATGTTGAATTTGTCGGTTAACAGTGATATCAATTATTTAATTTAATTAATATAAAGTTGCGCATGCTATGCTTTATTTTCTGACTTCCAACATCCCAGCTTATATTTATTAATAAAATTAAAATGATGGACCACGGATTATCAACATTTTTGAGTTTATCAATAAATTTGAATATTAAACAATTTATTAAGATCGGTAAATATTAGAAATAAAATTCCTTATTAAAAATTTGTATATATTTAAATTACAATATCTTAATCTACTATTTAAAGATGTCATGCCATAAAGATTCTATAATTGTTCATATGTTAATCGGAGTTTATAAAAAAATACACGAGTTTAATTTGATTAAAATCTCAATAAAGTAAAAGTAATTTGATCCATCTATAAGAAATTATAGGATTACAATTGTTAAAATAATTTCGAATAAAAACCTCTTGGTATGTGTTAAAACCCCGAAAACTGAGAATAAAAACCTCTTGTATGAGTTAAAACCCTGAAAACAGAGAATATTTAGGGGGTATTTGTCTAAACTTATAAGCAGGTCAAACTAGCTTATAAGTTATAAAATTAAGTTTACCTGTTTGTTTATAACTTTTTTGAGTTTATAAGTTGAGCTTATAAGCTAAAAAAAACAAGTTAGGGGGGAGGTACTTTTTTTTTTTTTTTTTTTTGCTTATAAGCACTCTGCTTATAAGTTAGTTTGACAAAGTATATTACCACATTATCCTTGTTTAATTTTAAAATTTCATAGCATATCCTTGTTTAATGTAGTACCATTTTTAGTTATTTTATAATAAAATGTACTTATAAGTCACATTTACCAAACACGTCAACTACTTATCAGTCACTTATAAATACTTTAGCCAAACACGTAATTGCTTAAAATTTTAAATGCTTATAAGCTCAAATTAGCTTATAAGCACTTATTGCTTATAAGCTAATTTTCATAAGTTGAGACAAACACTCCCTTAATGGTTTTGAGAGTTTAGATATGGATTGGAAAATATTAACAAACAAATTCCATCATTGTTTCTCTATACATAAAATTTGAGATAATGCATTTAAAAGCAAATCGGTAAGACAACAACCTCTTCTCATAAACTTTTCTTTCACAAGTTTGACATTACAGCTCATAATAATTAGTCACAATTTATTAGGTGATTTAGATGAGACTCATTACAAATTGATCAATTGCGAATTGTCATATTATAGCTATAAGAAAAAGTTTATTAAAAGAAATTGTGGGTATAGTATTAGTACATGAATGACATACAATAAATGAAGATTAAAATCCATAAATAAAAGAAAATTCAGAACATGTACCAACCACATTACAGTTAGGTGTCTAAGTAATGTCAAGACAAGAAAGAAGGAAGAAGAATAAATAAATAAATAACTGCTTAATATAAGAATAATACTACACATAATCATTCTCATACAATATTATGTAATAAGATATAACTAGATAAAAATTTAATTTTAATTTTAAATTTATAAATTATATCTTGTGACATAATATTATATAAAAAAATACTTAATATAAGAATAATACTACACATAATCATTTTCATACAATATTATGTGATAAGATATAATTGGATAAAAATTTAATTTTAATTTTAAATTTGTAAATAATACCTTATGACATAATATTATATAAAAAATGTTATATAAAAATAATGTATTCGTATTATTCCCTTAATATAATCGCTACTTACTCACTGAATACGTATACATATACAGACACAAACTCAAATGTTTAGTAATGCGTAACGTCTCATCCTCGTCACGCTCTATCCACGGTTCCACCAACTCCTCTTTCCATTTTCTATTTTATTAAAATAAATTAAAAAAAAAAGCTCTTATTGCCCATTTTACAAAGGAGAAAAAAAATGAAACCGAGAAAAATTCATATATACAAAAGAAAGAGGTTGAAAATTGATGGATTTATTATGTCATAAATCTTGTCCTTATCAAAAACAGAAATAGGCGTATGATACACGCGCTGTAGGAGAGAAGTGTAAATGGTTGGGGGTGACACAAGTGTTTGGCTGATTGAGTTAACTGTGTTATTTTCAACTTCACTCACTTCTTTGTTCTTTCCTTCTTCCCTCCCCAAGAAACTAATGGAAAGAGAACCATTAATAAAACTATCAATAATTCCTCTAAAATACGCACATCCCTTTCTGCTATTCCCTCTACCTGCTACATTTTGGCGCATTTTAGCTTAACCCCACAAACCCTAGCTCTTCATCTTCTTCTTCCTTTCACCTTTTATGCTTAATCCCGCCCTTTTCTTAACTGGCTATCATTAACTTCTCTTTTACTCGCTTCAGTACTCCTTTTCTCTTATATAAACATTTCTTTTTTTCTTTTTTGTTTTTTCTAGTTGAGGTTGCAGAGAGAGTTGAGTTTTATCATAATAATGTTATTTTGAGGTTCAGATCTGGAGAGATTAAGGGTTGTTTCAAACAATGTCTCTTCTTTTCTTGGATTCTTTTTGACCTTTTTTAAACTACAATAAAACCCTTTTACTGCTTTACTTCAATTCATTCTTCAAGGGAGTTTTTGTAGAGAGAGAGAGAGAGAGAGAAAGATCAAGTGGAAATGTTGGCGATTGGGAGTCCTTGCAGTGTCCGTACCACCTCTAGTTGTAATGCTTTACTCAGAGAGCTTCAGGTCTTTTCTTCTTCTTACTCTTCTAGTTGATGGGTTTTGCAGAAAGTTGAAGTTTTTTTGTTGTGTTAAAAGACAAAAAGCATATTATGATAATGGGATTACTCTACCTATGAAATGAAATTAGCCTCTCTTTTTTACCTCAATTTTGTGTAAGGACAACAGTTTTGTGCTTTTTGGTTCCGGTTTTACCAAAAAGCATTCAACCTATCCTCAACAGCTTCTTTCATGATTAATCTGCTTGCTGGAAGTTATGGAAATTGAATGCTTTTTGGTTTTGGTTTTGTCATTTTTTCTTTTTCTTTCAAGTTGGTCTGTTGAATTTTCTTTAAGTTTTGACGAATTTATGCTGAAATCCAAATTTTGCAGGGAGGTAGTTTTTGGTTGGTGATTCATGCCTGGTTCTTCTTTAAACGATTCAATTGTTTTTAACACCAAATTGATGTCTGAAACTATTGTTTTTTTTCCTTGGCGGGCCTCAAGTAAGATTTAGATATAATGGTGGTTAGTGTTGTCTGAGTTGGTTCTTTTCAAATTTAGTTACTTATCTGACAATTTATATTCTTAAGTGAATTTTGAGGTTTATTTTTTGATATATGTACTTAAACTATATAAATACTTTGATGTTTATTAAAATATGTTTTTTTTTTCTCTGGATTTGGATGAGTAGTGGTCTATTGCTCTGTTTCTATTCATTTGGTTGCTTTCTTGTGATAGAAAATTAATTCTGTTGTTTTCACATTTAATTTTGAGCTTATCTATTGTAAAAGAGAACAAATAACAGTCAAATTTGAATGCTTTTAACTGGTTTTATTGTTGTAATGGAAACAGCAAATATGGAGTGACATCGGCGAGAGTGAAGCGGAAAAAGACCGCATGCTGATGGAGTTGGAGAGGGAGTGCTTAGAAGTTTACCGAAGAAAGGTCGAGGAAGCTGCCAATGCCAAGGCACGTCTTCATCAGACTGTTGCAGCGAAGGAAGCTGAGCTTGCAACACTCATGGCTTCTCTTGGGGAACTTAATACTCACTCAACGGTAAGCTCAATTTCACGGCTTTGAAACATCAGAGGAACATATTTCTTTTGTTACCATTAGGATTCAGTCCTGAGTTGCAATCCTTCCTGTATCCAACATTTTTGGGTTTTTCTTGATTTTGAATGTAGAAGCTCATGTACATTAACTGGAATGACTAAATTTGTGAAGTTTTGTGCCTGAGTAACCAAGTCATCGTATGTGTATATCATATCAATATCACTGCATGCGGATCATTGAAGAAAACTTGAAAACTTACCAAGCGGGATGACTGGTGGATGCAAAACAGGTTTACCTGCCTGTGGCTGACATCAAGGCGAGGGGCTGTTTGAGGTCTGGAGTACTGATATGGATTGTCAATAAATGAAGTAAATGATTGAATGTGTAGTCCCTAAAAAGTTTTCTACTATATGCTGAAAAATGTGGAAGGCTCTTTTGCTTCAATATCATTTTGAATGCTTTTTACTTCCTGCATATGGTTCTTTTTGAATGCTCTTGAATAAATTTTTGTACAGAAAAATAGAATTTGTGATTTCAGCTATTGTGTGGAAATTAATGGAGAAAGTTCTATCCACCTTTCCTCAATCTCCGATTTTAGGTTATTTGAATGCTAACTCTGGCTCCCAGGTCCATTTGTTTTTGTTATTTTTCTTGTTTCCTCTTGGTATGCTGCAAATTTTTACAAATTGGGTAGTACTTTTGGGGTGTTACTACCATTGACTGTTGAAGATCAAGCATTTTAAATCATATGGTATGACTTACTCACTTGATCCTAATCATAAAAATTCGCAGATTCAGACAGAGAAGAGGTCAACATCATTAAAAGAAAAACTTGCTTCTGTTACACCTCTGGTAGATGATCTTAGAATAAAGAAAGAAGAACGTATGAAGCAATTTTCGGATATAAAGGCACAAATTGAAAGGATTAGTGGGGAGATTTCTGGGTATGACCATTTGAACAGTTCTCTGATCAATTTATCTCTGGAAGAAGAAGACTTGTCTGTAAGAAGGCTTACTGACTACCAAACACATCTTCGCACTCTTCAAAAGGAAAAGGTATGCATATTATGCTAGGAGCTAACACTTGAAGTTTTTATTTGGATGCTTATATTCACATAAGGATCAGAACTTATTACATATTTTGATTTTTGTTTATTTTTCTATATCATTGGTGACTTGAATATATCAAATTTGATGATGCTGAGAAGATATGATACATGTAATGGCACTAAAGCAGTCAAACTAAAACTTTGAAATTAAGGAACAAATACATTAGAATTTATGTTGACTTTGAGCCTTAATGGAAGGGTTAATTTGGTGTAGACATGCTTGTTCATAAAAATAATAATAATAATAATAATAATAATAATAATCTGGCAGTAAACGCAATTGAAGCTAAGGTGGTCCGCTTCATTGCATTCGCTGAATTTTTTATGCTAGCTCTTGTGTGTCATAGATTCGTAAAATGACCGATGATTTGTTCTTTTGTCTAAATGAATATTCAATAAGATGTCCTCACGTCTTAGTGCTTTGGATTGATGTGAATTAACTTTATATTGTCTGTATATTGTGGCATTTATGGGTGTAATACTTGCCTTTTGCAGTCTGACCGGCTGAATAAGGTGTTGGAATATGTGAATGAGGTGCATTCTCTCTGTGGTATGCTTGGGTTGGATTTTGGCCAGACAGTGAGCGATGTGCATCCAAGCTTGCATGGTACTGGCATGGGGCATTCCACAAATATCTGCAATAGCACATTGGAAGGCTTAGAGCAGGCCATTGTCAAATTAAAAGCCGAAAGAAAGTTCCGAATACAGAAGGTAATGAAGGTATTCCTGTAGTTCTATATTTTTTGTGCCTTTGCTATTTGAAGTAAAACTGTACTGTGAAATGCAGCTGAAAAGTATTTTGGCATCACTCTTTGATCTTTGGAACTTGATGGACTCGCCAAAAGAAGAGAAGAACAGCTTTTCAAAGATTACATCTGTTCTTAGATTATCAGAATCTGAAGTTACAGAATCGGGTATTCTATCAACTGAGATTATCGAAGAGGTTTGGAAACGCTCTCTAGTTAATTTTTGTTTAGTTGTGGAAAAGTAGATCTTCAAGTTTCACTCCTCTCTCTCAGGCTTCTGCAGAAGTGGATAGGCTTACTAAATTGAAAGCAACTCGAATGAAAGAACTGGTTATGAAAAAGAGGTCAGAATTGGAGGAAATATGCAGAATGACTCACATTGAACCTGATACCAGCACAGCTGCTGAGAAATCCAGTGCTTTGATAGATTCTGGTATGAATATCTCTTTTTCCTCAAATGAAGCTAGTTAATTAGATCATTGTATTTTCTTTTAGTCACTAAGAATATGCTTTGTAATTTGTATATATGAACCTTCATGTGTTTGTTCAGGTCTAGTGGATCCTTCTGAACTTCTGGCCAACATTGAAGCACAGATCAGCAAAGTTAAAGATGAAGCACTAAGCCGAAAAGATATAATGGATAGGATAGACCGATGGCTTTCAGCATGTGAAGAGGAAAAATGGCTGGAAGAATATAATCAAGTAATCTGCAATATTTTGTGCTTGATAGCTATCAACATATGATGATAGGATTAGGACTCAAGATTAGGACTTTTTGTCAGTTACTTCCCCTTCTTCCATTCTCTCTCACATAGTTTTTTGTCTCCTGCATCTTGTGATCTATTATTAGAATAGCTCAAAAGTTATTCAAATTAGCAGCACATTGATTATTGGCAATCCATCCATTGCTGCAAAACATCTATCCGTGTTCTTATTTTGACAAAATTTCCATTTAATTCCAGGATGATAACAGATATAATGCCGGGAGAGGTGCGCACATTAATCTGAAACGTGCAGAGCGAGCTCGAGTAACTGTGACCAAAATTCCAGGTATTGCTTTATTTAATGCTGATATCCATATTTGAACTGAACAACATTTTGTTTCTAACAAGGTTGAGTTTCCAGCAATTGTTGACAATCTGATAAACAGAACACTAGCCTGGGAAGAAGAGAAAAAGATTTACTTTCTTTATGATGGAGTAAGTTACTCTTTCACAGCTTTAGTTATTTTGGACTTCTTTATTCTCTTGTACATTCCCTCTTAACTTTTAGATTGACAATATTTTCAGGTAAGGTTAGTGTCAATACTTGATGATTACAAGCTGGCAAGACAACAGAGGGAAGAAGAGAAGAGAAGATTCAGGGTAATTTACCTTATGCTGTTGTATGAAGGTGTTTGGGATCTCCATGCAATTTTCTCACAAAATGGCCTTTGGCATTCATAACTTATGATTGGTTTTTATTTGTATTGATATCTTATCAACTTTTGATTGGAAGAGAAGTTCCTTCCAAAATTGTGAAATTGCTTTTTCCAAATGGTTCCAAATTGAGTGTTTCCAATGAATTTTTGGATAATATATGACAAGTTTTTATCACACTTCCACAGGACCAAAAGAAGCTCCAAGATCTCCTCATGACAGAGAAGGAAGCCATCTATGGGTCTAAACCTAGTCCTAGAAAAACTAGCAGCTTTAGGAAGCCAAATGGATATCGTGCAAATGGAAATGGATCAATGACTCCCACACCTCGTCGCATCTCTATTGGCAGCGGAACTCCTGAGCTCCTCACTCCTCGATCATACTCAGGGCGTCAAAATGGACATTTCAAGGAAGTGCGAAGGCTGTCAACTGCTCCACTGAACTTTGTGGCCATATCAAAAGAAGATACAATGTCAACATACACATCTGTTTGTGGTTCTGAGCTAGGCTCTCCACATGGTTGAATCCAGATTCCTGGAAATGGTATGTTTTGTGTACTTATTATTACCTCAGAGTGATTCAATAACGTGCACATGGATAGATCTCATTTTTTTTACTGCTTTCAACAGGACCTTTAAGTTCTTGTCTCATTTAGTTAAATCGTGGTGATATTTGATTATTGTTGCAGGAACACAGTCGACCATTAAAATTCAACAACTGTACACTCAATTAGATCAGTGGGAGCTTGTGAATACGGAAAGGATTTTACACTGTGTATGATTGTGAATTGTAGAAGTACTTGGAGAGAAGGGGTAACTGACATTTGAAGACATGCATTTAGATGTAATTTGGTTTGAGGATAAGAGCAAATAGATAATAGTTTGGAACTACTGCTGTTGCTGCTTGAGAGTTGAAATAGAAGTGCTATAGTAGTGCTGACCTTGTATTCTACTATTGATTTTGATTGTGTTTTTGCATGCCCCATGTAAATAAATCTTATATTCCAGAGTGATTGCTTCATTTGATGTAGTAGGAAGTTTGGAAATGTATTTGTAGGGTTCTGATGCTGTGCTGTATCACACAAATAAAATGGATGTCTGCCATTCTTGGTATTTATTTTTTCATTAGAATTGCACTATCTTCTTCAATTGTTGGTCACACTGTATTCTTATCGTCTGTGATTTGTGGTATGAAAATGAGGGTTCATGATATTTGTAACATATTGCGATTTTGTAACATTACTGGTTCTGATGGGAAATTACGGGGGTACAATCCGTAAAAGTCTTGTGGTTACGGTAACATTACTGGTGCTGATGGGAAATTACTGTGGGTACAAGTCTTGCGATTAAGGTACGTGACTGGGATTGAACCATAGTAATATCCTATACTATATTTTATGGATGGAAATGGGTGCAGAGTTTGGGGTAGCAGTAATGTAAATGAGAATCCATCTCTTCACGTGATTTTGGATCTTAATTCTTCAGTGTAATAGCTGTTATATCTGACACTGCCCTCGTTTCTTATTTCTTAATTTGGGTGAACTTAAAAGTTGACTTTTTTATGGTTACCCACTATTACATTACATGGGTTACAGTATAAGTTACCTCCCCACAATTGATAATTCTCTCTCAATAAATTAAAAGTGAATAATGTTTTCCACACAATTCTATATTATTATTGAAGTTGAAAAACTAGACAATGGTGGTCCACATTAATTATTCATAGTCTTATACCTAGACAAAATCAAATAATTTCATCATGGTAACAAATGAAAAATCTACCTTACCCTGTCTATCCTTCTCTATAAAAATTGTAATTAGCTTATCAGATTCTCAATTCAAGATTCCAAGAATTTTTCTTTAAAGGAAATAAAAAACAATTAAAGAAAAATAAAATAGAATTTCCTACTTTGTACTAAAAGATGGATGTCATAACATTTGGTGTCATAATCGGCATAATCGTTCTCTTTTTATGCATTGTTTGTTATATCACCATTGAAGGCACCTGTAAGCGCCGTTCTTAGCAAACCCCTTCCAAACACGCCCTTATAAACCCCTTTTACATTCTCCGTTATTTCAGTTCCTTACACACTTGAAAAATAAACTACCAATGTCGTCTTTCACGACCCAGATCTTCATTTTCTCAATTTCGGCTCTAATCTTACTCTCTGGGTTATGTTTCGATCTGGGTTTTGCCACTGGAACGACGCCGTCTCAGGACCACCACCACTGTGACCATTCACATGACCACCACCACCACCACCATCATGACCACGATCATGGTGGGCTTCAGCATACGGAGAAGAAAATGTTGCTGCCGGAGGAGTTGGCTGAGGAGGAAGATATGAGATTGTACGGATTTGGGCCGTACCATCATGAACGTGATCATGATCATCATGTTGGTGTTTCGCAGCACGTGGGTTTAGGTGAAATGAGTTAAATTCATTATGGTTGCAATTTTGTGGAGTAAAAATGTGTTTTTTTGATTGTTTTGTTAATATGTTTTTGGTTAATAGGGCTGTGGTTTAAAGCATTGGGTTGTTCACTTTTGGTGAGCTTGGCGTCGTTGATTTGCTTGATATTCTTGCCAGTAATCTTTAGTAAGTAATTGTTAATACTTGTTTGGTGAACTTATTTTTTACTTTAGTTTAGAAATGGGTTTTTGATTGTTATGAAAAATATAATCTTTTGTGTTGTTATAGTACAGGGGAAGCCATCCAAAGCGGTTGTTGATTCATTGGCTTTGTTTGGGGTTAGTATCTTTATGCTTATTTATTTGATTCTGATTTGAGTGTATTCTTTTTATCTGGATGAGTTCATGGATATGCACCATTTGTTCTTTTGGTGTTTTAAGTGGTTTTATTGAGTTTGAATGAATTGCTTGTTTACAGGCTGGAGCTATGTTAGGGGATGCTTTTCTTCACCAATTGCCTCATGCTTTTGGTATGGTTTAGAACAGAGTATTTTTTTACTACTCTTATAACATTCCTCCTCAGTCACAACTTTTAACTTGTGAGACAGTTTATATAACTTGCATTGGTTAAATTAAGCTATCATTGCCACGCAGAAGGTGCTGTTTTTCAGTACTTGTTTATGTCAGTAACAGGGTGATTTGATGATTTCATGTTTGGCTTTATTTTATATAGGTTTTTGTTTCCTTTATTTTCATTACTTTGGTATATATGTCCAATTATGTTCTACAAATTCCTTACTGCTAATAAAGGAGGTATCTATTCTTGTTTACTTTGTGTTTTAGAAACCACCCTCATGTTCTGAACTTTGTAGGATAGTCGCTATTTGCATTTTTGTATCACTTTTTATGTGCTAGTGGTCAATTCATGTTGTCCGTTGTGTCATAAAAAAAAGCTTATGTTTTGCAGGTGGTGAGCATTCCCACTCACATGATCACCATGAGGACCATGCACATCAGCATTTTCATTCGCATTCTTTGAAAGATCTGTCTGTGGGAATATCTGTTCTAGGTGAGTAGTAAAGTGCTTATGCATTTCTCATTCACATCTACTATATGCCTTATTGTTTGCAGAATCACACAAATATTCCCACACGCGTTCTTATTTGTGCCTCACAAGTGCATGAATTAACACTTATCAAGAAATTTATATATATGGGAAACATTTTGTGTTGGGATTGGGAACTGGTTTGAATTGTTTTCTCATCAAATAACTTGCAAAATCAATAAGCTGATGCTGTGCTTGTGTTGCATATGAGTTCCAAGGATGTAAATCTGTGCTCATGCCTCTGCACATCTGCACCTTATTCAACCCTGATCAATGATTTAATTGCCATTAAAAAATAAAGTCTGCTTGAATTGCGTCTGGTAACAGATTTTATATATGCTTGACATTATATTCTTAGGCTCATGCTGTACCTTAAAGTAATGTATAGATATCTGCAACACTCAACTGGGCTATCTTGCTCAACTCCTCAATCAAACTTGCATTCAAGAATTAAACTAGTTTTGTCGACTTTCTTGCTGATTACTGTTTTATGCTAAATGATTTCTTTTTCATGAGAAACTGCTCTTAGGAAGGGCTTGATTTTCCCATAGGACTGGCTAATGAAACTCCTCAATCTAACTTCCATATAAGAATTTAAATATTTTTGCTGATTTCTGTCCTGTTCCCGCCTTCTATCTCTTATTGCTTTGCTGCTGAAACATGATTTTAATACCTTTGAGCCAGTAGTAAGCAATTGCGGAACCTATCTCTTAAAATACTCTGTTCTGTAGCTGTTGCTATCTAACTTCATTAAATTTGTATGGCATTCCTGTTATATTAGTTTGTTGATTATTCCTTCAATTACATATTTTCTCCTTTGTTGATTTCATTGACCATCTACTTAATTTAGTATATCAGGGGGCTTTGCAGATTGTGTCGTAGACACTGAATTCTTATTATGTTATATTTGATTGTTGCAGCGGAATTGTACTCTTTTCTTGTGGAGAAATTGGTGAGATATGTTGATGAGAACTCTGGAGAAGCTGAGTCGTGGGGTCATGGTCACCACCACCACCATCATAATAGTAAAAAATTGAAGGATGATGATGATGTTCATGGAAAGAAGCAATCACAATCTTCCTGTGGAACTGAAGAAAAAGTTTCAGATCAGGTGTCTGAAGACTCTTTGACTAGAGATAGTGTTACTCAGCAGGGATCTCTTTGGAGGGTAAGCTGAGGAATTACCATATTGTGATTATTTTCTGCAAACTCATGAAGTTTGAGATGTGACCTGATGTAGCATGTGTTTGGTATGGTTCTGGTGATGGTTAAAGGAGCTTTCTCAGAGTGAGAAGCTCTTTTTCAATTTCATAGTTGTTTGGACGCACTTTTTTTTATTTTTTTTTTTTTATCTGAAAGATGCATTTACTTTTAATTAGAGTGTCTCATTAACTTGTAATGAGGTTTTTAAATGCACAAAACTCCCGTTGACAAGACTTTTCTTATATACAGGCAAGCAACGAACTGTTTTTTGCTGACAGCTCAACTTGTAAAATGCTTTGCTACTAAAACCCCTACTTTAAATAAATTTTGTAAATGAAGTATGATTCTCTGTCTGCTGGCCATTTCAGCATTAATTTTGAACCCAAAGTAAGGTTTAGGCAAGATTAGGAATAAAAATGTTTCTGGAAAAGAACAAAAAACCATTTGGATGTACAATTAGAAATGCTATGTTTTAAGCCTAGAGCTGGGTAGCAGAGTTAGGAGCACATACCATGTATGAGTGTGTTGGGTAAAAAACTTTGAGGAAAAGGGTTTAGCCTAGCCATCAGCACAAACATTTTGGACAGAACATCTATACGGGTACATGTTTTTGGAAGTGTGCTTTGGTTGTAAAATGTGGATGCTAGAACTTGGACGGTGGCATATATATGGAATTTTAATTTAAATGAAAGTGTTGGAATGAACATTGAACATTATCAGGTGCTTGCATTGTGCAGAGAAAGACTTCCTCTAGTGCTAGGGATGATAAATCAGATGTTGATGCGATGGATGGCTTGTCTGATGATCCTAAATCCTTGGAAAAGAAAGAACCTGCTCGATCATCAAATCTTGTGTTTGGTTATCTCAATCTCTTTTCTGATGGTGTTGTAAGTATGTGTTCCTGACCATTTGCACTTGAGCTTTCATGTACATCTGTTTGAAGAAATTTCATACTTGATATGAACGATTCCATTTTCCTAATATGTTTGACTGCAATGAAATTGTTCAAATTTTTAATGTTGCAGCACAATTTTACTGATGGGATGGCATTAGGAAGTGCTTTCCTGCTTTATGGATCTGTTGGTGGGTGGTCTAGAACTCTATTTTTGCTTGCCCATGAGCTTCCTCAAGAGGTTTGAGTTCACTTCCTTTTTCATTTGATAGGGAAAGATATTTTGCCTTTTTAAAGACTTTTATCTTAGAATTATGATATTGAAATTGGTATCGTGTCTATAAAGTGAATATGATAAACTTAGATATCATTTCTATGTAGCAAATATTATATTTCTTCAGTCATATTATGTATTTTTTTTTCCATGCATTAAGAACAGATCCTGAATTTGAATTTTGCTCCACGAATGCAGAGATACGATTTTCATTTTTGAAGTTGTAATGACACTGATTCTCTTTATAATGAGTGTACAATTTATCATCTTTTCAGTATTAATCCCTTAGATTCATCGTAAGTCATGATGAAAGGAAGGAAACATGAAAAAGGACAGAGCGAATAGATGGTTTAAAATATACCAACATGAATGGGACTCATCAGACAATGACACAGTCACAATTTTGTGGTTGAATATGTATGATATTGCATATTTTTTTGGTTGAATACCTTTAGATGGTAGATCTTGTTAGTTGTTACTCATATTTGTTGGCTTTTTACACTAATGACTTCTGAGTTATCGTTTCTTTGCTAATAATGCATGTAGTCAAGCTAAGATTCATGTTTTTCCTCATGTTTTATACATAATTTTTCGTTGTAGTTTTGGACAACTACATCTAGAGTTCAATGTTATAGGTATTTACAAATATGAAGGATGCAGAAATTATACGAATCACTTTGCGGACGTTTTCATTAAAGAAATTTCCAAGTTGTTCTGGTGTTTATCCTCCCCAGATTCTAGTTCTAACTAAAATTGATTTGTTAGCCACTTGTGACATTTAATAAAAGACAATTGAACCAAAATTGGTAGGTACTGAAGTGCCATGACCTGTTGTAGGCTGTCGAGTTCAGTTTACACTAGGTGCCTGCATCTGAAAGAGTTCATTCTGCGCGCCAGCTTACCCATCGAGCTTGCATTGTTCTTGATATTATTTCATGAGTAATCTCACTTTAATTGCTTAGTGGGTGGCTGCTAGGTAGTGCATCTAGGTTTCTCTGCCATAGTCATTATCAATAGGAAGGATGAAGTTACAGGAATCATTTTGCTGGATTTCAAATATTGAAATTGACCAGTTGGATCATCATTTCACTATTTCATGTGATAAAAAGGCAGAGTTAAAATTTACAGTCATTTCACATTTTTTCTTCCGTTTATTTTTTGCAGTTAATTCTCATCTGTTCAATTTTGCTGAACTTTAAAAGAATTTGGGGATGGAACAGTGAAGTTGATTATATTTCTTTGTCATACTATGAAACAGAATATCTTTTATTTGTGCTTTGTATGTTTATACCAGGATGTTATATAAAAAATAGATACATTCCCACATTGCAATGGTGGTGGAGGAAATTTTGACTTCATTTACTGTAAAAAACTACTAGCTCTCCAGTCTCATATGACTTAGACTTTGCTGTCGTCATAACAAAAAGTTTTAGGGAGCCTATTACAAACTTGTACCTATAAATTGTATTGATGTTTGCTGGTTTCCACTAATTTAATTTTTCTGGTTCTCTTAAGATTTTTTTCCAAATATTTTAAACATTTTGTATTTGTATTTGTATTTGTTTTTTTCCCTTTCCCTTTTATACTCCCTGTAGTGAGGTTGCCCTCCTTTCTAGAGTATTTAATGTCATTTTTCTTCTCCAAAGAAAAGAAAAAAGAAGCAAACAAATGTATAATAGTTTTTCAGAATGTAAGATAAAATCATACTGTTACTCTAAGCTAATGAATTTCCGGTTCTCAAAAATTATACTAGTGGGTTTTTTGCCTTTTTAAAATTATTTTTGTACTTGGTAGACTAACGGCATGGGTCCTTAATAGGTTGGCGATTTTGGTATTCTGGTGAGATCAGGTTTCAGCGTATCCAAAGCCCTCTTCTTCAACTTTCTCTCTGCACTTGTGGCTTTAGCAGGAACTGCAATTGTGAGTGTTGTTTCTCAATTGCTGGGACAATTGTTTTCAATAATTGGCTTGAGCCATGAAACTGAAATAATAGTCATTGCTTTCTCTGTAGGCTTTGCTCTTGGGACAAGATCCTGGACAGTCATCTTTGATTGAGGTAAAAGAGTTCCGTAAACAATGTATAGATTAATTTCGTTTTAGAGGCTACAACCTAATATTAACTTTATTTATTTGTTTCTTCTTAAAGGGATTTACAGCAGGTGGATTCATCTACATTGCTGTCGCTGGAGTGCTTGCAGAAATGAATAACTATGGAAACTCAGCATTGAAAAGTACTGCAGTCCAATTAACCTCACTGATATTGGGCATGAGTGTCGCCCTTTGTATTTCGCTTGTTGAATGAATAAAACATTTGGAAATCTATACGATATCCCAAATTAACCACACAGGTACATGATTTATTTTGATAGTGTTCATTCCATCAATTTATACGTCATTAGTAACTTCTGCATTTTACAAATTGTAACAGGAAAGAAAATGGTGATGGCAGGTAATCATAGATGTAATGAGAGTTATACAAAAGTATTTTGAGGTTTAGGTACTTGGTTACTATTGTGAATTGTAAGGGAAACTTGTTCTTTCTCTAAATTTGTGGTGATTGTTAAGAATACTAGTTTCTATCAGATTCTTATAGAGAAGTAACAAAAAAATCTCTATGTAACACTTGAAAAATTGATGACTTATCTTTTTTTTTTTTTTTTTAATCATATGAGCCGTTGGATGGGCATATTTTTCAGGTGTGTGTCAGGGAAAGGCTAAATGTCATTACTTTTAAGCAACCAATGGCTGACATGGGTGGTTTGGTAAGTTAGCAGTAGTCTCCTTCTANTGAATTGTAAGGGAAACTTGTTCTTTCTCTAAATTTGTGGTGATTGTTAAGAATACTAGTTTCTATCAGATTCTTATAGAGAAGTAACAAAAAAATCTCTATGTAACACTTGAAAAATTGATGACTTATCTTTTTTTTTTTTTTTTTAATCATATGAGCCGTTGGATGGGCATATTTTTCAGGTGTGTGTCAGGGAAAGGCTAAATGTCATTACTTTTAAGCAACCAATGGCTGACATGGGTGGTTTGGTAAGTTAGCAGTAGTCTCCTTCTAATATCAAAATCTAAATCAAGTAATGATTTGGTTTGACTTTGTTTTTGTCTTTTGATAATGTGAGGATGCTTTTTCTGGGAGACTACGATTCTATTAAGAATTTTGCGTATGTTGTGATGGTAAGGACAAGCCTCAAATATTGTCTATAAACATTAGAATTGGGTTGAAAAGTGTCTCAATTGGGAAGGGGTTCAGTCAAAAGTCTTGAGTCATTCCAAGAATATTATATAGTGGTTGGCACCCTTTTCGATATTCTGTCGTCAACATTCAAAACTCATCATTACTTCACAAATGGGGCATATTGAATATCAAGTTTACAACGGAACATCACTTGTAATAGTCACAATTTCAACCTAAATGGTATGAAATTAAATTACAGGTTAAATAATTCTCCAATAAAAGTCACGACGACAGTGTTAATTGGATTGAAAATGTAATGTCGTAAAGAATAAAACAAGTAATTGCACCCTCTAGCAGTTGATGTTTTTAGCAAATAGAATTTGGAGTTCTGCCCATAACACAAGATTCTGATTCATGGATCCTCAAACTTTCCTTGGCATATAATTATAATCAAGTAAATTGGACAAAAATATCATACAGAACAAGTGTTTCAAAATGATATTACAACTATAAAGAAGTCCTGGCTACATTTTGGTCGTGTAAATTTTCTCAAGTACGGACAGAAAGATTTTTACTTCTGGAACGTCCGGATTGCATTTTGTTGATCGTATAGACTAAGACTCAAACTTGTCAAACTCTTGAAGCATTTCAAAGATGGTGATTTTCTGGGTTTGAAGTGGAGGAACAGGAGGCATTCTCATGAGAGGATTTATTACATTATCCTCGTGTGTCAAAGTGTGATGCCTCTTTCGCACTGCTCGAACAGGACGACCCTCTATTGCTACTTCATTTCCTTCTTTGTTCATTTCTGCTGGTGCTTCTGCTCTCTTTCCCAATCCCTCACCTATTCTCTCCTCTTGCATTCTTGATTCCTTTTCAAACACACCATCAATTTTACAACTTGTATAAAGACATATCAGAATGTTGAAGATAAAGAGCGTCTCTTGTAAATATTTCATGTTACTCTTTTCTACTTTGGCATCTCATTCCCCCATGAAAAGTAATTTCTTGACTGAAAAAAGCCCTTTTTTTTTTTTTTTTTTTTTTTTTTTGCAATAACCATAACTAGACTTGGAATTTATTCTTATTATGGTATATAGAAATTCATAAATATTTAGTTTAATTATAAGCACCATTTGTTTAATAAGCAGATAAACCATAAAAATAACACCTATATTCTCCAAATACCAACTGAAATTTTCCCAACTTTTGCATGAAATCTTTTCTATACTGGATAATATACAAAGAAGATTGATGGATACTTAAATGACATAATACTGATTAACAAAGAAGATTCCTTTTCTGAATGAACATATTACCAGGGTTCCTGACATTCATTGTGAAGCTATCTTTTTATTAAGGCACTTAATGGAAGCTTCTCAGGAGGTTCAAAAGAGATTAGACAATCAAAGTCCACATTACATTTTTTCTCGAATTATTAAAGTTTGATAGCATATCTATAATCTCTTATAAGAAGAAATCCCCTTAACTAATGGATGCAAATAGATAAGGAAAGAAACTTACATTGATAACAGAAGAATTTGCATTGGACACTTTACAGCCGATCTTCATCCTGTGGCTCCATTGGTTGTTCAACCGGCCAGAATTCGAGTTCGAATTCGACCCCATATCCATAACACTCGTGGCTCTTTGCTCATCGACTAACACAACTTGTTTTTGTTTATATCCTATCATAAATAATGAGAAAGAAACAAGAACGTGAAGAAACTTATTAACTGGCTCAAAGTCAAGATAATATAAGATATAAACAGTTGGGAAAACCAAAGTATAGAGCAGGGCACTCAATTACCCAAATTGCGAACAAAAAAATTGTACTTACAAAATCATCCCCACATGAGAAACCCATATAGAAAACGTTAGCTCATGCCAGAAGAACAGAAAATCTTACTTTGTTTGTGAGTCTGAGAAAGAGAGAAGAGAGAGAGAGAGGGAAAAAAAGATGGGAAAAGGAGAGAAAGAGAGCATGAAAAGAGGAGTAGAGGGATAGAGAGGTGGCGATGTGGGATCACCTGTACAGTGAAAGACGAATAAAGATTCCCACCATTTTCTTTTTCTTACTACTTTAATTTTAACCTTTTCTTTCTTTATTGGGTGTGGTTTTTGTCTGTCTCTCTGTACTATCTCGTGAATCAATGTGAGAGCTTTTCTTCACTTTCTTGCTTTTAAAAACGTGGCTGTGGCTCTGTTTGTTTTTGGTTGAAAATCAAACAATCTTCCACTTTCTTGCTTTCTTGGTTTTGCAAAGATGGAAATTGCAGATGAGACATGCATGAGCTGTTTGTTTGGTTAATTGGAATCAAAGATAGAATAGAAAATTGAGGTGGCTGAGCCGAGGCTCAATATTAAAGAGATAGCGGAAAGCCACCAAGACACTTGCCTCCTGCTACACACTTTCTATTATCTTCATATACATTAAATTATTTCATTATATGCTTTTATTATATAATATATATTATATATATATATATATAATATACAACATTCATCATGCAAAAATGTTATTTATTAAATATATATTTTTTTAATTTCAACTTTATATTAAAGTGATTTAATTGAGTTTTCCTACTATATAAATCACGCCGTTACCAATTTATATAGCATACTATATACTGAAATATAATATCAGTTAAGAAAGGGGAATACCATAGATTATCCTTCTCATTGTGGAAATTTCTGTTATAAGGGTGATTTTCCCATTTGTGTCAAATAATATCTTAAAATTTTGGAAATGTAACCTAGGTGAGTAGTTTGATGATGAGAGGCGCAATTGGTTTCAGTTTGCTAGAGATTCCGGGTTCGAGTTCCCATTAACACACCCAAGTATTGCCTGACGATTGTGGTGATAGGTTTCGACTTGGAGAGTTTGGCTTGTAAGTGGACTCGTAATGGGCCCTATATACCTAGGTTAAAAAAAAAAAAAAAAAAAAAAAAAAAAAAAACATTTTGAAAATGTACGATGATCACCATTAACCCTAATATTTTTTTGAGAGTTAGTTGTAGATTAGATGAATGCTGAGAGTGTCGTTGAACAAAACTCATTTCCCGTTTAAAATTTTAAAAATTATAGGGTTGGTAGTGATATTTTCCCTTAAAAATGTGTCAAAAGGTAAAGAGTCTAAAGACACGCTTGAGGCCTTGATCCCCGGACAAATGTCAACTCTGTGGGCTGCAGGCGGCGGGCCTGATTTAGCTCAGCCCACGCTTGTATGGAACCCACTAAAGATATATTTTTAATGTGAAATCTTGAACCCCACTCTTTTACCAAGTTATCATTTAGATGATGTAAAATTGTAAATTTAAATTCAAACCCCATTTCTTTCATCAAAAGCTCCCACTTACAGTTTAGTTGAGGGTAGAATTATAAATAACCATAACTGTAAATTACGAATCTTCATCCACCAGGTTATGAAAGTTGGATTGATTTAGGGGAGCGACTCTTTAAAGAATGGTTTGTCATTTTTAGGTAGGGGGAGAACTGAAGGGGGCAAAACCTTAAATTTATGAGTGATGGAATGAAAGCAAAAATGAAAGTTGTTGGCCGAGTTACTTTTACTATTATTATTATTATTATTATTATTATTGTATAGTGTTTTCAAGAGTACATTCTTTGTGAATTTTCAAAAACATTCAACTAAATGAACTAGTTTATAAATTATGGAGAGAGCATGTTTATAGTTCTATATATGAACAAAGAAGATGAGGGTAATAGTGATATCACTAGTACAAAATGTACTCCAATCCTTGTTTTTTTTATTTCTTTATTGTAAATTTTATCCTCACATACGATTATTGATAAAATGAGTTGGACATTTTTCATTTTTTATGCATGACAAAGTTTTTCCAATCAAACGACATTGATTGAATGAAAACAGTTCATAACAAATCACATATTTTAAAGTAACCAAGGAAAATATTTTTTCTGATAATTGAAAATTGAGTTATATTTCCATGCATACACATTAGGCTATCTTCAATCATGATTAAAAGCCTTGTTCTAGCAACCCTAGATGTCGGGCAATACTCCAAGCATTCAGCATGACTCAAAAAAACATCCAACATCTGTTTTTGTCACACACAATAACACTTGTGTAATTTAAAGTCGAAAACTCATCACATAACCTTTTCGCACACGGTAAGAGTTTACATCCTTATTAACTTCAAATTCTCCTATGCTCACCTTCGATGAACTCATAAAGTTCTTGCTAGGATCAATATTCTCATCACCTATATGTTATTACAAATAATAATTAGTTCATAATTAAAAAAAATTTTGAATTTTTTTTCCAAATAAATAACCATGTTTGTTAACATTAAATTTGCTTACAATGAAACATGATAGTAAGATAAAAAATTTAAATTATTTAACAATATCGCTAATGGTTCAATTTGCTGCAAACCATGTTTAATTTTCTTTTACAGCACCATTTTCTTTGACAAAAACTTTAAACAAAAATAATTAGTGGAAATGTTACAAAAAGGAGATCATGTGCAAAGAGTTAAGGTACTTACAGGATAAAAGCCAGGAAGTCATAAAACAACACAAAAGAAAGCTACAAGAACAATGTTAAACTTAATTGCCATCACAACGCTGAGAAAAGGTATTTGTGACTATTAGTAATCATTTCCTTTATTTATATAATAATGAGGTTACTGAAAAGCTATTGTTTTTTGCATCTTAAAATTAGCTTATTAAATGTGAAATCTCAATTGATCTTCTAAAATTGGATTTCTTTAAATGCGAAATCTCAATTGTTTTTGCATCTTAAAATATATTTTTGTAAGAAATTTCACATCACAATACAACAACCAAATATATACATAAGGGTTAATATATAACCCCCCTGAAACTTCAGAAAGTATGCCAGCCCCCACTTTTTTCAGAATACAATTTACGCCCGTGCCATTATTTAGAGTCCATTAAGTGTAAATAATACCTTTCAACTACAAAATTTTGGAGAACAAATCTAACGAAAGTAAATTCTAAAGATTAAAATAAAACAATTTTAAAAACCTAAAATAAAGAATAAAGAATATAAAATAAATAAAATTTCAAAGCCTATAAAAATTCGAAAAGTCAGAAAAATTATTTATTTTTTAAAATTCAATAATAAATAATTTTAACACTTTAAAAATATATGAAATTTGAAATTTTAAAAACAAAAACTATAAAATATTTAGAGAACTAAAAAAAAAAAAAAAGTAAAAAGAAATTGACCCCAACAGCTTGGGAGGACTAGATATGACCATCTTAGCAAGATTGGTGCCACACATGGCTCGGTCTCGCCATGCATGGCCAATGGGTGTTGGGCATGGATCAATCTAGCCATGCATGGCCAATTGGTGTCGGACATGGCTGGCTGATCATGTTGACAGGGCTTGATTTGTCACACATGGTTAGATTAGTGTTGGTGCGTGGCTTGAAGTTGCTCGATCTAAGCATGCCAAGCTAGATCAGTGTCGCACTGGCATGGCTACATGGCTTTGATGGATTTGCCTTGGCAGGCTTGATCCACGCACTACCAACTGGTACTTGGCAATGGGCGCATTTTGAAATTTTTTGAAAAAAATGTAGCATGTAACATTAATTATAAAAATAGTGTAAAAAGTGTTAAATGTAGCATTATCAAAATTTATTACACTTTTTAAAGATTTTATTTCAGTTTTCTAAATATTTTTTACTTTCATATAGTTATGTGCAGTAATTACAATATTTACTTTTAAAAGGTTTTAATGGTACAATTGTAAACTTGAAAATAAATTTGAAAGGATCGATGACCTACCCAAGAGAAGGCTGAATTTATTCCAAATTTTACACAAGATTACCCAATTTTTGCCTCCTAAATTGATAATACAATTTTCATGCAATTTGTGAATTTGGTAATTATGAAAACAAAAAGTTAACAATTAATTGCACAAATTAAATAGAAGAGAGAGAGAAATCAAACGTGTGATGTATAGAAATCAAGGATCCCTCAAGGAGTGGTTGCAAACCCACCTACAACCACTCCTTAAGGGATCCCTCTTGAATATTTCCACTGTTACACTTGGTCTTTAACCAAGACTGCGATAATCTTCAGACAGTTAGCTTCCAAGGTATAATCCAACCTTTAGTCAAGTGTTCTATCTAACACTTCAATGCAATTGACTTTTTGGTATCAATTAGACCTCTCATAACCCTAAGACTTACTTTCTCTCACTAGAAAAGCCTAAAGCTCCCAAGAGTGAAACTACTCTTTTACAATTTGAGATTTGATTATACAATAGTAGAAACACTTTTAATAGAGTGAATGAATAAGTGTTCAGCCCAATACAACACAATCTACAAAGTACAAGTGATAGTGTAGGGTTTAAGTAGAGTGAGAAAGATGTACAAATGAAAGCCCTATATCTTTTGAACATTTTTTTATATGAAATGTTTCAAGTTCGAATGGCAAAAGTTTATCCACATGAGTTTGGTTGGGTTATATAGGAATCCTTAAAAACCTAGTTGTTATGCCATAAATAATTTTCCTGCTCACGTCATTAGATTGACCTAATGGTCTATTCAATTGACCTTTGTTGACGTGGTGCCGATATGTCACTAACCATATAACTCCCACAACGTTAATCGACTTAATGTGCATGTAGTCATCCTAATGGTTTTATTCGATCGACCTATTAGTCGACCTATTGATTATCTTATTGACGAAGCATTTGCAATGCTTCTATCCAAATAGGACACCATTCGACAGCTTATTCGGTTGGTCAAATGGGTTAAACTGCAAGATCTCAATGCTTTGTCAAAATATGATATTTTAGTCCACAACTG